CTGTGAATGCCAGGTGAACTAGCACTTCCAAAGAGACTGAGGAATGAAACATGGTTCCAGAATTTTTATTATATGCAGACAAATTGACAGTAGATGGATGGAATAGAGTCAAGTGTTTCCTTTTTTCTGGCGTAAGGAGGACATTGGAAGAGTGAGGAAGGTTTGGGCTGACATAGGAAGCGAAGACACTTTTAGACAAACTGAACTGGGGTCTATGGGAGACAGCTAAGACTATATGTCCAGCTATTTGGTAGATGCCAGTGGGGACATCCTCCACCTTGAGTTAGCATAAATATAGCAAGATAATTTGGAGGTGGATGAGGATAAACACAATGTCAGAACTGGGGAGAGAGAGCAGACCCTACCTGGAGATATTCTGATGGAGGTAGTGACATAGAGATGGAGCTGGGAAGGAAAGGGAATAATTTCTCCCGAACTGCTGTTTACGCTGGGTCTTTCCCATCTATCGATGTGTGGAAACTCTTGAGGGTGAAGATTAGGAAGGGAAGGGAATGAACCATCACATCTCTTTGGGGTTATGTCCTTGGGATATGCAGTGGAACAATTGGCCATCCCCCAAGCAACGGGCAAAAGAGGAGTCATGAAGCCAAGCACGGGTCAAGTGAGCAGCACCCAGATTCCCAAAAATGATGGATCCTGGTCTTTCACACTAGAAGCTGTGTTTTGATGTCCTGTGTCATAGCCCTTTTATGAATTCAGACACAGGGACGAGCCCTACCTTAGACTTGTTTCTAGAGTTCTCTATCCTTTCCTGCCTTGAGCTTCTACAAAGCTAAGGAAGCTTCACACAAGGAAAACTCTGACAGACACAGAATTAAATGTTCCTTTCCTACAACCTCCAGAGGACGAATGCCCCAGACCCTTTCTGCATCTCTACTACAGAGATCTCCATGTGTCTGTATGTTGGCTTTTCCTCCTCCTCTGGCTCAGTCTCCCCACTGCCTTAGTCCTTCTTCCTGGGATCATCACTGGAATAAACGATCGGCTCCTGCTCAGGCTTGGGTGGAGATTGTTTCCAGTAGAATCTGACCAAGAGTGAGACGAGCCAGCCTCAGTGGTGGCAGACCAAGAGAAATGCTGTTGGGAGCAGGAGGACACATTTCCTTTAAAGCTGAAAGTACTGAAGGACGAGAACAGATCTCTGCTTATCTCCAAATGACCAAAGGCTGAGCTGCATCCTGTGGAGCGGGCAGAGATGCTACTCTGGATAGGATCCAAGGGCCTTGGTCATAAATCCGTCTAGCAAAGTGAACATGCAGTGCCGGTTCCCAGCACTTGACATTGAAGGCACAAACAACAGGCAGAGCCTCACCTACACCACAGCACAACGGCGCTGCTCTCTGCAGGGTGACCTTCTCCAGCTCCGGGGCTGGGTCCTGGGAGCTTGTGGCAGTTCAGAGCCCAAGAAAGTGTGTTCTGTTTCACTGTTTGATTCATTCTCCCAGTGTTTTAAAAGCTAAGGTAACTCAGCCGATGTGAGGTTTCATTACAGTACAAGGAGCCAAGCACAGTTTACACTAAGCCCCTTTAATCTTCCATGCTATGGGCTGGCACATGGTGGCATTTCAGTCAGCAGCTCCAGCACATTTTGGGGGATGGCTTTTGTCTTAGTCCACTCTTCCCTTGGGCTATGGTCTCCTGCTTTGAAGTTCCCCATCTCTCCTCCACCTTAAACTTCTCTGATGGCTTTGCTATTGCCCACCTTTTGGACATGCCGTGATGATTGGTCCTTAATACGGTGATGCTTCTACCTTCATAAAAAGAGTGGTTCATTCTGGAGAGGTGGAACAGCCCTTATTATCGTTCTATGCCAAGCTGGACCCTGGCTCATGGCATAATTCCCTATGAGACAGGGCTGTTTTAGGTAACTGACTCCTCTAAAGTCCTGGGAAGATATTAAAGGAGTTTCAAAAGTCAGAAAAGGAAAACCAAAGTCAAGACCTGATATCTCAGCTTCCCTGGTCCAAGGCATTGCACTAGCATGGGCCTCTCTCCCCTGTCCATAGTCCGCCATATTGCTCAAGTTCTTTTTCCCTCAAGCCTTTTTTCCTCCACTACCTCTCTTTTCTAAGTTTCCAGAATCCACTGTTAGCTGCCTCTGCACAATTTCTTCTCTTCCCATTTGAAAACCAACCATCAACATTTTTTGCATAACACCTTCTTAACCTCAACTGCAATTTTACATTTTTAAATATTTAAGACATTAATTGTTTATTACTATAATCAAACATGTTTAGCTCTTCATTCAGCCAACTTACTTTTGTTAGGGGAGACCTAAAACTTACCCTTTATAGCCACAAGATTATTTAATTTTTTAAAAGAAAAATAGAGTGAGGTGGCCAAGCATGATGCTAAATATCTATAATCCTAGCATTCTGGAAGGATGAGGCAGGAGGACCACAAGCCCAGCCTGCGTAACTTAGTAATTTAGTGAAACCCTTCTCAACATCAACAAATAAATTTTAAAATGGGCTAGGGTTGTAGTTCTGCATGAAGGTTCTCAGTTCAATTCCCAGTACCACAAGAAGAGAGAGAGAATGAGAGGGAGGCGGGGGAGAGAGAGAGAGAGAGAGAGAGA